TTTGTGTCCATTCATAACACAATGTGTTTAAGGGCCATATTATGAGTCGGCAAAATATTACCCTGCTTGTGTATTTGCCCTACTTTCATGATTTCGTTGTTTTGTTTGAAAGCAGTTAATGTGTTTTCGCAAACATAATATAATAAATACTGTGATTATGAGATCTCGTGTCATTGGCCAAAGTAATTATCATTTTATGACTCAGTGCTTTGTGTAAAAATAATGGTTTTTTTACCAAATTAGTACACCGAGACTATGAACATCGGATGTTGTCATTTGGATCGTGTAATTATTGTAATTATAAGTATGTACTAAAACATAGCTGAGCGTTCTCATGGCATTTCCCAGTATAACAAAACAATCACAGATCTCATCAGGGTTCGAAATACCCCATATATTAGTGTGCCATGGCACGGTAAATATTGAAATGGCACGGATAAAAGATGTTCTCGGTGCCCTTTCGACACACCTAATTGTTTTAGAGACATAACTCACATTTAGTCATTTAATCCCCAAAACAATTATATTTTTCCAAATTGAATAATACCATACATATTTGAATGCTCATAAACCCATTTCTTTATTTAACAATAAATTTCAATTGATCATCATCATTGTTATTTATTCTAAAAACATGTGGGCACACTTGATTTCTGAAAGGCACACCTAAAATATTTGTCTGGTGCCCTAAGGCACACTTAGAAAAAATAGTATTTCTATCCCTGCTCATGATGTATGTTGTAAGTGATGTGAAAGTAAGGTCGCATTCTTTGTGTTAGTCAATTCCAGACTCGTAACTGTTGCCAATACATGTACTAAATGTTTTTGTTACTGTCAATCCAAACAATCAGCACTTGAAAAAACAATAGAAATGTTTTGAATTTAGCACATGAAATGTACAATCCCATTCAAATTAGATCTTTTTCTCCAGTACGTGAAGGTAAAGAACTGAGGAAACTCCGAAAGAGAAATATCGTCAGCCATTAAACAGGTTTCTAAATTCATGGTACAACTGAAGAAAGCATGCTGACAAGCATTCCCAATTTTGATCTTTTCCTCGGTATGTATGATGAAGATTGTGCGTTGGTTTAATAAGGATTTTTATACACCATCATTTCAGATCTTAGTGCAGCATCTACTCCCAGAAGGTTTTCCAACTGAAGGAGTATTTGTGTCTTGCATTGGTTTGCCGTTTAATAGGTTCAAATTGGCAAATCAAGGTTTAGAGAATGATCATTGCATTTTGAACTGTTGAACCCATGTAACCTTCATTCAGATTGGACGCTCAGTCATTGTTCACCCAACGTGACCTTATATGTAGGTATTATCACGTCTTGAGCTAGAGAGGTTTCATATTTGAATACAAGATGTGTCTGTAATGAGAAAAAATGATAATGTAATTCCAGTGTTATAGAGTTCAGAAACTGTGGATGCAATTGTCCATTTTAGGGAAAGTGTATGTAATTATTAGAGGAGTTTAAAAGTGTTTTTCTTTGCTAGGCCTATCCATCCTATTTTTGGTTTTCCATGTTTACTTCATCCATTTTCCATGAGAAAGATGAAGGCAAAAATTAAGTGAGTGAGTGAGTTTAGTTTTTCTCAGCTTTTATTTTACAGCAATATTTCTTTCTACGGGCACAGAAATGTCCTTTCCCTGTACGAACGCAGGGAAAAGATAAACATGGTATCTTGGCTAGATTCAAATTTATTTCTTTACAAGTAACTGTGATAAGTTATGAATGTTTCAAGAAATGCGACTTGTAATTATATTTTTTTACTCATTATTATAGTTCAGGGCCTCCTTTCACAAAGCACTAAGATGATCGTAAGTCACTATGGTAACCTTAGTGCAATGTTAAAGAATGGGAGTTAAGGTTAAACTTAGTAAAGGTTGCCTTGTGAAAAGAGACCCAGTTGTCCTTGAAATTAAAAAATCAGTTGTTCTGGCCTTAAAACAATCATTGCCATATTTTCAACTGGCAAAAAAATATGTGATTGATGAGATTTATATAATTATATTTCGAGAACCTAATCTTCATCTGAACCTGGATCTAGTTCTGTTCTGATTAATCAGTTTTGTTGACAGCCACTGGACCAATGTTGCAGAATGTATAAAGATTGATCAGGTTCCAGTCTTGCTGATTATGTTATAGGAGAATGGTGTTAAAGTGATTGTGTTATTTGTTGACATGTGATATTGAATTGACAAGTTCAGTTTCATAAAGCTTTCTGTATTTTGTTAAGGTTGTGATGTGAGTCAGTGCATGAGAGCAGTAACCTTTAAACAAGTTATGCTTGACATTAAAGCCTGTGTGTTAGGATTGGTTGGTTGGTTGGTTGGTTGGTTTTTTTACGCCGCACTCAGCCATATTCCACCTATATGGCTGACTGACTGACTGAGTTTGGTTTTACGCCGCTCACGAGCAATATTCCAGCAACATCACGGCGGGGGACACCAGAAAAGGGCTTCATACATTGTACCCATGTGGGGATTCGAACCCGGGACTTTGGCATGACGCGCCAACGCTATATGGCTGAGGTCTGTAAATAATGAAGTTTGGACCAGGCAGTCCAATGATCAACAGAATGAGCATTGATCTACGCAGTTGGGATATGGTGACATGTGTCAACCAAGTCAGTGAGCCTGACCACCCAATCCCATTAGTTGCCTCTTACGAGAAGTAGGGGTTGCTGAAAACGGCTGCGGTGTTAGGTCAAGGTGATCGAACTATTCACCTGTGTAATCACTCGAGCATTCACACTGTGATATCATTCTCAAATGTCTTCAGTTATGTGCATATTTACAAGAGACTAAATCCACACCCTGAAACATGTTCAAATGATTATCTCTTTACCAATTCAATGAACCGCTGTGCACTCAAGTTTCCTTTTCAGCTCCATGGGTCGTTTACAACCCAAGCTACTTAAGAGTGAGCGAGTGAGTTGGGTTTAACGACGCTTTTAGCAATATTCCAGCAATATCACGGCGGGGGACACCAGAAATGGGCTGCAAACATTGTACCCATGTGGGGAATCGAACCCGGGTTTTCTGCATGACGAGCGAACGCTTTAACCACTAGGCTACCCCACCGACCCCAAGCTACTTATGAGGAACTGAAGGTTTATAGTGAATGAGTGAGCGAGGTTTGGGTTTTATGCCGCTTTTAGCAATATTTTCACCCTTATCGACCCGTGAAGATCCAGGTTAGAATTGGTCTTCAGCAGCAACCCATGCTTGTCGTAAGGGGCAGCTAACAAGATCTTGTGGTCGAGACTACACACTTGGTTGATACATGCCATCATATCCCAATTGTGTAGATTGATGATTATGATGGTAAGCACGGGCACTGGACTGTCTGGTCCACACTCGATTATTTACAGACTGCCGCCGTATAGCTGGAATATTGCTGAGTGTGGTGTAAAACAACAAACCAACCCTTTTTTCCCTTTATTTACTTCTCAAACTATATTTGCCATAATAAATGTCATGGATGATGAAATTTTTTTACTAGTATAGAGAGGTCATGTATTAAAGCTATATATACAAAAGCTATAAATTGTTGCTGGCCATCAAGTGGTAAGAAAATCATTAATCCATATAGTCGTGATAGTAACAATCTTTTGATAATAATTTCAGGGAAAGTATATTTCCTTTTAGTGCTGTTGTTTTCAAACAGAACTGTGAAATGCATGTGTACAACAAAATACAAAATCCGTTCTTTGTAAGGGTCGCTTAAAACCATGGCCTGATTGGTCATGAAGTTGTTGGGTTCGGGACCATGGCACAAAATACTGTAAATACAGTAATCTATATTTAACTGATAACGTAATGTGAGCACCCTTTGGTTTTTCTTCTTGATGTATAAATTTGTCATGAACTGATATTTGTATAATCATGGCAAGAGGAAATCACAATGCCATTTACAAAGTGGTCAGATATGACATGTTATGTGAAAGTCACGGTGGCTGAGTGGGCTAGATGGCTTACTTTATGTGTAGGCGATTAGGTGCCTGACTCTGAGAGAGTAGGTTCAAATCCTGAATCGTCTCAACCCAACAAAAGTACTTACATCTGTACTTGACTCAGAAAGTGTAATCCCAAATATATCATGTGCTACATTTGACCACTCTCTAAATGACATTGTGTGTTCATATCTAAGGTGCCATTTACAAAAATGGCATAAATATATATATCTGAAGATTTTCAAATGTTAGCATATTTGGCCTGCTTTATAATTAGTTTTTCGTTTGCCATTCATGTTTTATTAGGTTTTTTTAAACATGAACTGGAAGGTCCCTAAATGGAAAAACGAACATAATCTTGTGCTGATGTGTGGTCAGCTGACTCAGCTCTTTTAATATAGTCAGTATATGACGATTGTTGAATTTTTTTTAATTGGATGAAAAAGTTGGTTGTAGTCAATAAAGTCACAACCCAGAGAGATATTGTAGCAAATGTAGGATTTATATGGCATGCTGAGAATTGAACTCGGACCTTTAAAGAGCAAATTGATTACCCGCTGTGCTTGCTCATGCCTCTGTGATAACACTGTGTTATAATGGCCATGTATTGATGGTTTATTTCATAGTTGACAAATATTGCAGCAACAGCTGCTTATTCAGAATGTTTCGGCATGTGCAGCAGTAGCAGCATTGATGCAATTAGCTTGAATTGTTGACCATCACCTCTCCATATTCTACTTTCCATACACAACTGTCCGGTCTCAGTGCTGCACACCACACAAAACACACCCAACACTTCCCTATGCTTTCCACACTCCACTGTCCACACCCCACTCTGCATATTCCACAGCCCACTCAGGACACTATGCACTCCACTCTCCGCTCTCAATGCAACTGTCCACACCCCACTCTGCATATTCCACACCCGACTTGGCATACTCTGCCCTCCACACTCCACGCTCCACACCCCAGTCACCATACTCAGCACCCTCCGCCTCCACCGCTCTCCATGCTCCGCTCTCCACACTCCATGCACCATGATGCACACCCCTCTCAGCATAGTCAACCCTTTACACCCCACTCAGCATACTCCACTCTCTGCTCTCCACACTCCATGCTCCACACCCCTCTCTACATACTCCATGCCCCACTCAGCATACTCCACACTCCGCTCTCCACGCTCCACTCAGCATACTCCACTCTCCGCTCTCCATGCTCCACACCCCACTCAGCATACTCCACCCTCTGCTCTCCATGCTCCACGCCTCACTCAGCATACTCCACCCTCTGCTCTCCACGCCCCACGCCCCACTCAGCATACTCCACCCTCTGCTCTCCACGCCCACTCCACTCACTCAGCATACTCCACCCTCTGCTCTCCACGCCCACTCAGCATACCCACCCTCTGCTCTCCGCCCCACTCAGCATACTCCACCCTCTGCTCTCCACGCCCCACTCAGCATACTCCACCTCTGCTCTCCACGCCCACTCAGCATACCCACCCTCTGCTCTCCACGCCCACTCAGCATAGCCCTCTCCACCACTCAGCATACCCACCCCTCTGCCTCCACGCCCCCACTCAGCATACTCCACCCTCTGCTTTTCCACCCCACTCAGCATACTCCACCCTCTGCTCTCCACGCCCCACTCAGCATACTCCACCCTCTGCTCTCCACGGCCCACTCAGCATACTCCACCCTCTGCTCTCCACGCCCCACTCAGCATACTCCACCCTCTGCTCTCCACGTCCCACTCAGCATACTCCACCCTCTGCTCTCCACGCCCCACTCAGCATACTCCACCCTCTGCTCTCCACGCCCCACTCAGCATACTCCACCCTCTGCTCTCCACGCTCCACGCCCCACTCAGCATACTCCACCCTCTGCTCTCCACGCTCCACGCCTCACTCAGCATACTCCACCCTCTGCTCTCCACGCTCCACGCCTCACTCAGCATACTCCACCCTCTGTTCTTCACACTCCACACCCTACTCTTCATACTCCACACTGCTTATTACAAATCCCTGCCCCATCTTACTTTCACTAGTACATCTCAAGTTTCCCTCTGATGACTACTGATGACCACACCTGGCTGGGAACAATCAAAATACCATGAATTTATCCAGACTATATAAACTACATTGTAATACTGCTGCTACCAGCATTAGAGTCCGGAATCAATTCAAGATAATACATACTTCACTACAACATGTGTTGACGATTGACTCAGGAATGGCAAAGGTGTGAATTGTTCGGATGACCTTCACCTTTTATGGGCTCAAGTGTGTTTGTTGCTGTTCTATCAGCTGGGTGATTGTGAAATCGTGAAGGATATTGCACTATACAATGGTTTTTGAAAAGGTCACTGTTTTACTGAGAGGCAATATGAATGACTGGGTGGGTGAGTGGCTTTGTGGATGGGTGAGTGAGAGAGAAGGAGTAAAAGTTAGGCAAGGAAGTGGATGGGTAGGTTGGTTGAGTGAGGGAGTTGGTATGAGGTTGAGTGGAGTGACTTGGTATGAGGTGTTAAGTGTAGTTGGTTGGTGAGTGGGTTGGTATGAGGTGTTAAGTGTAGGTTGGTGAGTGACTTAGTATGTGGTTGAGTGTAGTGAGTTGGTATGAGGTTAAGTGTAGGTTGGTGAATGACTGGGTGAGTTGGTATGAGGTGTTAAGTGTAGGTTGGTGAGTGAGTTGGTATGAGGATAAGTGTAGGAAGGTGAATGACTGGGTGAGTTGGTGTGAGGTTGAGTGAAGTGAGTTGGTATGAGGTGTTAAGTGTAGGTTGGTGATTTAGTATGAGGTTAAATGAAGGTAGGTGGGTGAGTAGGTGAGTGAGTGAGTTGTTTATGCGGTTAAGTGTAGGTTGGTAAGTGAGTGAGTTCTTTATGAGGTTGAGTGTAGCACTAAGTGAGTGAGTTTTTTATGAGGTTGAGTGTAGGTTGGTAAGTGAGTGAGTTTTTTATGAGGTTGAGTGTAGGTTGGTAAGTGAGTGAGTTTTTTATGAGGTTGAGTGTAGGTTGGTAAGTTGGTATGAGGTTGAGTGAGTATGGTTTTACGCCAATTGCTATTCAATAAATATCAGAGAAATAACTCTGAGCAAAAATGCCAAGAAAGTCTGAAAGAAATCAACATTTCACATCTTCAGTGGGCGGAGACATATTTAGACTTGGCTTACTACCAAAACACCGACCTAAACATAATTTTGAACCAGCCTGTGAATTAAGACCAAACTTTGTGTATTGTATGAAAAAACTATAATTTCAATTTATCACAAAAAAAAGTTTATGTACGATATTATTGAAGACACAGTTTTCATATCGATAATCATTGATATTTTTTCCCGTTGAAGATATTTTCCAATTTTCGATGTTTTTAGCCTGAGCCTTCAGCCTCATCACTAAGACCAATTTATGGAATAGTGGCCTGCTCTGCTTCCTAGCTGAGAAATATGGCTGCGTTCGGCGTAAAAATCCATCCATCGAAACTGAGGGACTGTTTCCTTGTCCATGGACACATGACGTTGAGATCCGAGCAATGCTTTTAGCCGAGTTGTAAACTGATTGTAATCTAAATGTCAAGGTTTAGCTTCACACATAATGCATATGGATTCAGTGGGGGTTGTTTTATTGTATTATGTTTGATTAAACAACATTATTTCTGGAATTTACATTTTTTGACAAATGAGTATTTACGCCAAGTATTGATATTCTTTCAGCAAATAAGAGGTGGGGTTGCCTAGTGATCGATGCCTTTAGTTGTCGTTCCAGAGAAGCACTTTTTATTCTTGAAAGTTGTTTTTAGAAAGTTCACCTTGGCGCTGTTAATTTTACACAATAAATCCAGAGCTCCAGATAAGATTTAGCTCATGTGGGTACTGTACCCACTGGGTTTTTTTTTAAGTGGGTATTATGAATGTTGAGTGGGTATTTCATTTTCCGTTACCCACCGCTTTCAAATATGTGTGTATTTCAGTCATTTTACTCACCTAAGGATTATGTCAATGAGTAAGTTTACTAAGCAGGTATGTTCTGCCTTATGTCATACCTAATCAAAACCAACTTAAATATAATGGAAATGATTTCATAAAAAATCCCTCATCCTATACTGACAGTACAACACTAGTCCTATACTAACAGTGCAACTTGATAGCAATCGATGTCTTTTTCATTACGCAAGCGATTTTTATAAATATATTCCGTACGCATTTGTTTTAAACACTTTGTGTATCTAACATTATAAATGCATAATTGGTACGCAACAATTATTTTTCAATGCGTAATTGAACATTTTCTATGCATATTTTACCCGGATACGCAGCTTATCTGGGCCTCTGAAATCATTTTTATCAGATAATAAATGGTGTTATTTGGCAATGTAAAACTTACTTTAAAGAAATACATTTTAATGGATATTATTTATTTGACATGTTTTAAACAAGCCTGTCAATGTTTTTTCATTGCTTTTTTGCAATTTCCCATCAAAGTGAATCTGAAGGTTTCACACTAATTACTTATGTGGGGAATCAAACCTGGACTTTCAGCATGATAAGTGAACGCTTTATCCGCTGGGCTACCAAACTAACCACTTTATGTGAATGATTGATTGTTTGTTGTTCAACCCGTCACTCTGTAGTATTCCAGCTTTTTGACGGCAGTCTGTCAATAAACCAGACCTGGACCAGACAATCCTGTGATCAACAGCATGAGCATCGATCTACACAATGGGGATACAATGACGTGTCCAAGTCAGCAAGCCTGACCACCGGATCCCGTTAGTCGCCTGGATTATGTGAATGAACAATTCATGTTACCAAATTTAACTCCTGTAGAAGTGAAGCATGAATTCAATCATTAAAGCTTTGTAAGGGCATCTGATTAGTCGTGTTTTCCTGGAAACATTTCTAAACCATTTTGTCTCAAAATAATAAAAAGAATTGCATCTAACAAGAAAATTAAGTTACATCATGGTTACGTTGGGTTAACGTCACTGCCAAGCTATTTTCTGGACTGCTCTAGACACACTTCTGTACAGCAGTCAGATCAGCCGATTGATTTTAAGACTCCTTTGTTAAAGCTATGGGCAAGAGAGACGGGGACTGGTGTAGCAAGGAAATGAAAGCTTTGCCTTGATTGACTGCTATGTACGTGTAATGTGCATGCTATGTACACCAGTGCTGGCATTTATCACTGCTTTGGGTAGTAAGGACACTGAAGTGTGACATTGATCTCAATGCAGATGGGAATATGGTACTGCTGTTATCACACTCAGACTAGGTAAATATGACAGTTAATGCCCAGTGTTGTGGCATGGGATTGTGTTGACCAGTCAAGTCATTGAGGACATGGACTAATGACAGGGAATATTTCATGGACATGCAGAGATCAGCTGAAACCTGACAGATTAATGGAGTTGATTGTGAATGTAAGTACTGCTGATTTGGTACGTCCGTGTGATGTTTGCTGCCGGGGGTCGATTTCAGGGTGGGGGTGGGATGGGAGTTTGGGGTGGGTGGGTGGAGTTGGGGAGGGTATGGGATAGTGGGGATAGGAGTTGTGGGTAGGGTTTGGAGTTGGGGGTAAGGGGATAGGTGATTGGGAGTAAGGATGGGTGTGGATTTTGGAGTTAGGGGTGGATTGGGGATGAGGGTGGAGTTTTGGGAGGGATGGTAGCTGGGGGTGGGATTTGGAGTTGGGGTGGGGATGGGTTTTCGGAGTAAGAATGGGGGTTGGGTTTGGAGTTGGGGGTAGGGTTTTTTTGGGGTATGGGTGGGAGCTGGGGGTTTAGATTGGAATAAGTGTTAGTTAAAGGTTGGGTTGGGGGTCACGGGGATGGGAGTAGTGGGTTCTGATGGGAGTTTTTGTCACAGCTTTTCACTGAGTTTTTTGTGCTGATGATATTGTAGTCTCTGCTTCTTGACATACATTTTAATGAATATTTTTATTATTATTCACAATGTAATTTTTATGAAATCAACATTTCAAGTAAACTATTAGTTAATTTATTTACCTGATGCTAAATAATTTTATGGCTTCTGTGAAATAATGTCTTGTGATGTGAAGGATGATTTTGATGCTATAGTATTAACTGAAACATTGTTTCAGCTTACAGGGACAATAGCCCATTGTCTTCAAGCATGTTGAATAAAGATATCTGCGTTTTTCTTGTAAATATGTATTGTTTCTAAATTCATGTTAGCTGTAGTGCTATTTTTTAAATTTATTTCCATATCAGATTTTTTTGTTCAGCTGAAAGAGCCGACATTTTTTAAGTGAACGTCATTTGTCGAGACGTGTGAAGTTGTGTTCCGTGTCAAACAGAGGAGCATCGGTCGATGTTTTTCTATCGTTTTAGATGTAAATTTAGGAATTGTTTGGGGAGGGAAAGTTCTTTGATAAAAACTACTTTCCTTAAATCTACTCCGTTCCAAGTGTCGCGGATTATTTCTTTACAGTCTGCAGGGAGCTGCTGGTTTAAAAGTCCTCCAGTAACAATGTCATGCCGTTTGAGACTCTAGTGCATCACTTGTGCTTAGTATTTTGGTTTAATTTCCCTAACAAATCCAGTGACTTCTAAAAATTACAATACAGATGAAAAATATAAAAGAAAGGGCTTTATTTATTTCACCAACCAAAAATAAATGAAACATTAAAAAGACTCACTTTCTGTTGCAATGAATGTTTTCACATTAAATCAAATTTGTTAGTCATCACGGGACTTAAAATACCTGGGCTTCATACATTGTACCCATGTCGGAAATCGAACCCGGGTCTTCGGCGTAATGAGTGAATGCTTAAACCACAAGGCTACCCTATATCATATAGACCCAATTATGAATCTTAAATTATGGTGGCGCGTGGTCCTGTACTCAAAGCTCAGGTCACAAATCGGTGAAGTTAAGCACCGTCGAGCTTGTAGAGTCCTTGGATGGGTGACCGTGCTTGGCAGCTTGGCTCCTGAGAGTTTCTAGGACTTCAGTCCTGCCCCACAACGAAGCACATGTGACACATGTGGTCTCACCTTAGGCAAGTGAGTTTGTTCAACATTGTCTCTGTTCACCCAGCAGGATAATGGGTACCCGG